GAAGATAAACTCCAATAATAAATTCAACAATTAACCTCAAATTCTTCAGCACTTTGCCCTTCAATTCGTGTTTGGAAATCCAAATCCTGCAGAAACGAAGAGCTGTAGTTAACTAACGGCTGTGACTGACAGGTCCAATCTCCAAGAGAGCCAATGACTGAGGCACTTCTCCTGATCTTATTGCTTGGGCAATACGATAAGCATAGGATTGATCTGTGCTGAGATCTTTGATGACTCCTTCAGACAACGCCGGAAGGTGAGGGCCAACTTCGACCTTTGGAAAGGTTGTATTTATTTCTAGTTGTGTTGTTTCATCCAGCATGATGCCAAGGGGACCTGACCACTTGTTGTTGCTCTTTGTAGGACCATCAAGTTCCTGGATGAGATGACGAAGAGGTAGCTCGCCTGTATGTAAATCACATACAATCCAAACAAGTCTTCCTAGTTTTTTCTCTAAATGCGTCATTACACCCCCCTGCCATCCGGTGTTCACTGCAGTTGAATCTCCACCAACAGCCTGCAGTGAACTGCCAAGTCCTCTCTCCTGAACCCAACATAAAATATGATCAGCAATGACCTCTGCATGTTTCTTCCCCTCTACTTCAGTTTCGGGAGCAAAGTGAAACAAAAACCGACCACCAGGCTCAGAACAGACAGAGTAGTGTTCTTCTTTGATGAGACCTGGAAACTTTCTGTTCACTCCCTCTACTTCTAGCAAAACTTTTGTGTCATCTATTCTTCCATCAAACAAAAGACAGGAGAGCCCTCCCTCGCTTAAATCTTTTTCATGCTGATCAGATATTTCCTTCATTATTTTTCTTGTGCTCTTCTAATTTTATTATGATCTATCACCAAAGATACATCCTCTCGGCTGATGAGGCCTGCATCTATCCAAGCGGCAGTTGCAATTTCTGCAGCCTCACGAAGTCCAGCATGGTGGCGAATACTAGCTAAAGCAATGTTTGAAATATTTCTTGTGTTGTATTTCATTTTCTTTGGTAAAGGTTCAGATGGCTTTTTGGAACTATCATCTGATGTTGCTTCCTGTTCATCAGAAGAACTATCAAAGAAGTGATAAACATCTTGACACAGCTCTTCCTCTCTTTGGATGGCTTCTTCACTCTTCATTTTCTTCTTTTGTTCCCTCTCTCGGATTTGTTCTTTCTTCTTGGCATTAGCAATCTGCTTCTTTGTTTCTGAATAATCTATTGAACCCATTTGCATACTTCCTTGGCCTTCTGCCTTTGTCCTCTGTGCCTTTATAAATTCAAGCTCTAAAACAGGGATCTTCTTTTCACGAGGACAACCACAATCAATGTGGGAATTATTTTCTCTCTTACCTGAGTGAGAATAGTTGGATTCAGAACATAATTGTATGGAGCACTTGCAGGTCAAAATGTCAAACAGAGCATCAAGTGTGTGCAGAAATTCATTTTTCCTGGCCAAGTTTCCTTTACCAAGTGATGTTTCAACTGCTTTGTGCCATAATTTCGTTAGTTTTAGCTCAATAGTTCGACACTGATTAATCACAGGTGGTTTGAATAGTGCAATAGCTTTTGTCCATTGATGCAGAAGAGGGACTATCATGTCATTTATGAGTTCTTTATCTGTATAGTTCCTTCTGTCCTTTGCATTTTTTTCTCGAAGGAGTAACCCTAATCTTAGCATGTCTCTCACTGTTGGAAGTTCTGATACAGGAAGCTCCTTCCCTTTACCAACTAGCAGGCTCAAGTGGGTTGACAACTGACTTCTTGTCTTCAATTTTGACATCTTCACACTATCTGACAAATAGAAAAATATTTCAATGTTTCATAATTCAATTGTTTCAAAAAATATCAATTTGTTTATCAAAAATGCTGTAACAGAAATAACATAATAATTTCTTAGAACATAATGTTTTATACAATGATATAAGTAACTGCGACAATCAATATGCCCTACTTACAATAATTAAAATGTAGAATTCGTCTGGTAGAGTAGGTGCAAGTGCAATGAGAGCAAACCACCGTCTATGATATCTAGAAGGAGAGTGAGCCGGGCGCCTTATCCTCACGCTTGGTACAAGTCAAAACAAGAATTAAACTGTCCCACACGGAGAGCCTGTTCATGTTCATGTTCTGACATGCATATTGTACACAAGCTATAGAACCATAAAATACTCCATAATCCATATGCTTACATGAGATTAGTTAATATCAAGTGAATAATTCTAATCAAGTCTCATTAATTTGTTGAAATACTGATATTTGAAACTTTAAGGTATAATTGATGTAGGTGAGGGTTATTTCAATTCATTTTTGTTTGCTAATCTCAAGTTTAGACATAAAGAGGCACAATATTTTGACTACCAAATTTGATTTTTAACATGTTGACAAAATTGACACACCCTAATAAATATGATAAAAAAAAGCAATATAAGAACATGGGATGCAGCATAGAGATGCAAGCTGATATGAAGTGACCCAAGTCACAATATTTACCAGGAACCTTACCTACTTAGGTCTGGGCCCAAGGAACTCTTTCCCACCTTAGAACTAATCTGAGGGAGCAGTGAGGATCCTCCCAACCTTCTTCACCCCCCCCCCCAACAATCAGGTTTCTTATTCAACATGACTCTTCTACAGTGACCCTTTCAAAATCTCCAGGCACCATTTATATATATAAAAGAAAAAATTACCAATAGAATGTAAATAACAAAACATAAAATTCAAAATAGTGACCATTTAGCACTTATACCAAAGACTATTTGTTTTCATCAACTCTGAAGTCTTTCAATTCAAAATTTACCTGGATTTTAAGGTTCACATTTTATACTCAGCAGATAAGACAAGTCCTAGTTTTGAAGATATTTTTTGAGCTTTGAAGGTTGACTTATATGCCAGCATATACAGTATATAAATAAACAAACTGTACCTGAACCTACAACTACCAGTCTTCCTTCTTTATTCAGAATTAGTACAACACAGTCATTGTTTTTGTTATATGCCTGCCTTGGATCTGATCTGGTATTACATGAGAGTACAGTATTCCTGGACTGATATGGAACTATAAAAAGGGTTTATCTCTCAACCAGAAAGATCAATACCTGCTTATCAATACCTGTCATGTTTAGTTTTCATAAGAGTAACATAAAAGGGCACGAATGTGACACAGAAGCAACCCACCTCCTTGAGTTCCCTAGATTCCTCCACAAGATGACGATAGTTTTCACCAATTTTCTTGTAGTCTGCCCTGTTGTCTGCCTCGTCCTTGTAAGGAATTAAGCTCTGTGATGACAGAGTTGCTAAGTTGCACAACAATTAACAACAGCTTGGATTTGTAAAATGATGCAGCAAAACATGAATATACATACAATATTATATTATCCTTTTAATTTAATAAGTAAATGGTTTGAAGCATGTAATATACATGTATATAAATTATATCTCAATACAAAATAATTTATGCAGACAGAGCCAATAAACCAAAGTTACAATACAACCTGTCCAATAATCTACTTTATTTTCTTTGCACCAAAAAGGAAGTTAAAATCAGCTTAAATTTGTTTTGGCAAATCACCAACGACCTTAAAACTTATGGCTTAGTATACACATTTATAAACCTCATAATGGAGAACTGGCTTAGTGTACACATTTATAAACCTCATAATGGAGGACTGGCTTAGTGTACACATTTATAAACCTCATAATGGAGGACTGGCTTAGTGTACACATTTATAAACCTCATAATGGAGGACTCATCCCTAAGTTATTTTTTATAACCTTGAGAGTACAGTACTGAACAGCTCAATAAGAACAAGTCAAAGGGTTTTAACCCCAATGTGTGACTGAGATTTATAAACCAAATAAATTCAATAATTAGATTATTCTTCACCTTCACACAAAGATTGCAAGGCATATCCATACAGTAAGAAGATAATCTAAAATGGGAGAAAACTTGATACAGTGAACCCTCAAAGATTCGGACCCAGTAAATCCGGATTTTGGAAGATTCGGACAGAATTTTGGGGTTCTGGGGGCTAAGAAGCCTCCCTAAGAAGCATTCCCAAAACAGAGCAAAGATCATCTTAGGCTCGTGTAACTGAAATGTCAGCGTGCTGGACGCAGGTGCCCGAGGAGGGAAACATAAACAGAGTTGTCAATTGTTCTTTGTATGTGTGTATTTCTCCCATACAGTATGTATTTTGACACTATGCCTGGCAATGGGAACAAGTAAGTGACCACTAGTTAAAGTGTTGTCGGCTCTTGTAACTCTCCTCACCCCCTGCCATATTTAAATGGATTTACTGTTATTATTAGTGTTTACGGATATAATAGTGATTAATCATGGCACTTGTAGTCAGGTTAGACTCGTCACTGTAACCACCAGGCTACTGGGCCAAGTTATGTGGTGTTATGGTAGTTTTTCAACTCGTATTTTCGGGTAGATATACGTAACTTTTTTCATTATTTTCACTTAATTACATGCACACACCATCCCACAAACATATTGTGAAAAAGGTAAAAGAAATAATTGTCCTAAGGGCAAACACGTAATGGGAGGAGAGCGTGGGGGGTGGGGAGCATTGCTTGGGAATCGGCGTCCCAGCTGGTCTTCGTTACTTTGGTGAAGCAGGGATTGTATGCAAATGACGACTGTGTTAAACTTTCATTTGTCTTTTATTTACTGATTTAGCAATACATTATTTTTTGTTGTAACTTATTTATTGGTATTATTTTTAATTATTCCTCACATTTCCTGGCTACAGAAGGAAAATAATTTTTTTTTCCCTAAATACTCCCTGCTAAAATGGGGGTTGCGTCGTATATGCCATAAAATACTGTACTGTATTTTTGGTCTTTTTATATCATTATTTGTCGTTTTATACATTTATTATATTTGTCAGAAGATTTTGACAATCGGCTTTATCGGACAAGTAGTCTCCCCATTTAGTCCGGATCTCCCAGGGTTCACTGTAATTTTGTTGTGAACATAACATGAAACACTGATCTATCCATTTGCTGATGTTGGATACAAGCACTCAATCCCAACCAAACCAGTCCAGATCCAGCTCACCTGAGCACCCAAAAAGGTGAAATTCAAGATCAACCTTCCATTTATTACCTACATCGGGGTCAGTGAACTCACTATACCGCAGTCATCTACCGTAAAATGGGAGGTGAAAGGACATGAAGGCTGCACTGGCAGTGCCAAAACTTATAATCTTATTTATACAACCAATCTAATGTCAAACTTATAGTAGGAAATAAATGAAAAAAATTAAAGGTCCTTCATTACCTGTGCAACCCTAAGCTGAAAAACCAGCAACTGGCTCTGAGGTTGTTGCTAATGGCTCAGCTGAATGATGAATCACTATGCTCTTATCATAAACTCCCCCACTGATATATCAACCCTAAGGTTTCACACCCACCGAGAACCACCACAACAAGAGTACAGTATCTATTTATAACCTAAACATGTAAAATGTATAATATAACTAACTATACAGCTACACAATATTAACAAGTTAAAAAAGAAACAGCTAAATATACACATGAATACAGTTTGTAATTTCAAATTAAAGACTTCCACCATATGTGAAAACTGTGGTAAGTACAATAGTATTGTCAGCAAGGATTATATCTTAATATCAATTAGGAAAATATTTGTCATTAACATTCAGGCAGTCTAAAGTTACTTTATAAATGGTACAGTAATTTATAAACTGACCTCTATATGAGTATATTCCATCCCTGCACAGTCATCATTAACACGGATGTAAATGGCTCTGAGGGGTTTGAAGTGACGCTGAATGGCACTGAGATTTTCTTGGATCCGCATTTTTTTTTCAGTACTTAACTGTGTGCCTTGATTAGAACCATTTGGAAGCTGCAATTCAAAATACAATATGCATATTCAAAATCACAATCATGAGAAGAAAACTAATAATTCAAATGAAATAAGTATTACCCTTTCTTAGTAGGACCATATTGACCATATTGTGCCTCTCAAGCACAAACTTTTATAATTTTCTATAGAGTAGAGTACATTATCTCTCATCATAACATAACATCTACCACCCACACACTTCTCTATTCCATGCCTTCAACTTAACTTTAACTGCACAGATGACTAGATATTTTCCTATTTACTATTAAACATTAATCTTATTTAATAATACAGTATTCCCTTCAAATTCGAGGGGGTTAGGTTCTCAAAATGGCTGTGAATCGCCAAATCCGCGAATAATGGCCAGACGAGGGGGGGGGGTTACATTTTTACTTGTGTACAAAGAAATGTATACAGTTAACCCTCACTTTACGCGGTTAATGTAACCCACAGGGTACCGCGGAAAGCGAGAAATTCGTAAAGTGAATAACATAACATATGGGATTAATTGAAAAGGAGTCCAGGCCGATCCCCAAACTCCACTTTTTGACGACACATAACTATGTTGTAGTAAAAATAACATCTTAATTTTATGATGGTACATGCACACAATTAATACTTAAGAGAAATACAGTCGCCAAGTTAATGTCCATTCAAATAATGGACACACTCCCTCCCCCTCTTCTCACACTACACTGTTGGCTCTTCCCTCTGAGAAATTTTGGGGGTAAAACCAGGTATAGTAATAAATAATACCTCAAACTAAAGTTAGGATAATACAATTGACATTGCTGGATTCCTTGTAAGACCAGGAATATTTTGAATATAAATGTCATATATTTTTCACAAAAGATAACATATTTACTCAGATTAAACATTACATCTAAAATTTGTATGTCTAATGCAAAATCTATGATGTTTATATTCAAAATGATCACCAAATTGTAAGAATTCCAGCAATGTAAATTATATTCTGGCCGGGTAATTTGTATGAATTTTATGAGCTAAAACAAATATCTTCAGTTAATAAAAAAAATAATAATTCTTCACGGGGTAACAGATGGTCGGTCGGTCCCTCCCTCCCCCCCACCCCCCACCAACCGTCCCAAGGAGATGTGTGGGATAACCACTAAATTTTAATAAATAATACCTCAAACTAAAGTTAGGATAATATAATTGACATTGCTGGATTCCTTGTAAGACCAGGAATATTTTGAATATAAATATCATATATTTTGCACAAAACATAACATATTTACTCAAGAGTAAACATTATATCTAAAATTTGTATGTCTAATGCAAAATCTATGATGTTTATATTCAAAATGATCATCAAATTGTAAGAATTCCAGCAATGTAAATTATATTCTGGCCGGATAATTTGTATGAATTTTATGAGCTAAATTAAAAAAATTATACTTCATCCGTGTAAAGGGGTACACCCACCGCGGAATGTGAGCATCCTGGGTTCTGGCAGGGCACCGCGTAAACGTGGAAACACGGAATGTGGGACCGCGTAAAGTGAGGGTTGACTGTATTCCGTTTGTGTGTTTGCCCTTAGGAAGAATTATTTCTACCCTCAAGACTACTTCCCATTAATAGTTATGTGTATGTGTTTTGTGTATGTGTGTGTCTACACACACACACACATATATATACAATACAGGTAAATGAAATTACTGTCTCTAGAATGAATGGTTCCCTGTCCCGGCCGTGAAAATGCCGGCAACTTTAAAACTACCCACAGACATTCTGGGTATATCCAGGGTGTCATCCGTGAATTATCCGAGCGTGCTGTAATAATAATATGTAATATTTATTCAATAAAATTGCCCTTCAGGTTTACAATTGAATAAGCATGTTTATAAACTATGCAGGTATACAGTTCAACAAGAATACAGTGGGGTATGCTATAACGAATCTAATTGGTTCTAGAACCTTGTTCGTTATAGCATTCGTTCGTTATAGGATTAATCCGTTCCAGGCCCCCAAATACAACCACTTAACACTGAAAAATATAATATAAAATTGTAAAAAAGTGCATAAATATGCATCTAAACCCCTGAAATAAAGAATATCATTAATATTTGTAATAAAAAAACAATAAATCAGTAAAAAAAAAACCAAAACCCTTTTTTTTTTGTTTTTTAAATAATGTTCGTTGTAGGAGTTTCGTTCGTTATAGCATTCTCAATTTTATAGGTAAAACCGTTCGTTATAGGAATATTCGTAGTAGGATCCGTTCGTTATAGCATACCCCACTGTATAGATAATATACTGTAGGTATAGAGTACATGTAGGCTAGGGGAGTACAGTACTGTATAGAGTTTCCTGTGTGCTGAGACAGTGCAGGTAAGCAGTAAGGCAACTTGACCAAGGATAGATGACAATGCTCTCTGGAGCTTATTTCCAGGAGGGCCCTTTGCTTAGGCTCATGCTTGGTCTCTAATCAGTAATAGTATATCTACACGAGTATTAATGAGTTTATTTGATAGAATTTAACAAGGTTTACATTGCGCTTGGACTATCCGAGGCAGGCAGATCACTACCGCAGTTTTACAGTATGTGGTTTAATAATATAAAAAAATCATTCTCTTATCTTGCTGTAGCTTCACCTACTGTATTATGTATTTCTTCAGGGGCAGATCCAGGAATATCTAAAGGGGGGTCCAGGAAGTTTTGGGTAGTGGAACATGGCGAGCATTTTGAGGCCCCTGGAAGCCACGTGCACTTGATATTAGGAGATATTCTGAGGTCAATAGTAATTACTTTTTACAATACAAAAATGCCTGAGTACAATGCTGCATTAAAGAAAAGGTATTGAAATTTTCTGATGAAAAAGGGGGAAGGGGGGTGTCAGGATCTCCAGGACTCCCCCTGGATCCACCCTTGTTCTTTGTTTTAGCTTTGAATTGTTTAATACCATAACGTTTTGATGTAGTCTGGTAACTTGTTCCAGTCTGTTATAACAATAAAGAAGAAAGTGTTGTTTGCTTGACCATGGACACCATGTACATTACCATAGAATTATGTTCACTAGTACCTTGCCAGTTCATATTTTGTAGGTTAAAGATAAGTATATACTGTACTGTACAGTATCTGAGCAAAATGAACTCCTTCACTGCTTCCAAACTTAGACATTTATGCCACTCCATGGAATTAACCCCTAAAGCCAAGGTGGCATAACTCTACGTCCACTTTAGTGACCCCGGGTGATGTTCCTCTATGTCCTTAATCTTTGCAGCATAGTTTGAATACCTAGAGAGGACAAAGTACTTTGCTTATGATATTTATTTACTTGGCAATTCAACTCGCACATAATCTTTGTTTCAAGTCTAGTGGTCACCTTACCCACGAGCTACCATGATGGATGCACATCCTTCGACGTCTCGTGACCTGCCTCACTCCTCCAGACCCTCAAGAGTTGAGTGGCATCGATATAGTATTGAGTGACACTGACAGTGATGGGGAGGAAACAGACCCAGATGATGTAGGGTTTGTTAAGGTGGCCAGCGGTGAGAACAGTGATACAGACAACGGCACTCGCCCCCCCCTCCCTACCCTACCAGCCCCCTTAGCAAGGTCATGGTCATGAGTGTTGTGGACGTAGTGGACCACTTGCACGCCAGCCACAAGAGTACACTTGGAGTGACTGCACACTAATTTTATGACTGAAATACAGTACCAGTTTTTAACTGTAAATTATTTTTAATTTTTATTTTTGCCAAAATGTGGCCATGTGGGGGCTCCAGCAGGTCTTACATCACCCGGGGCATAAGGGTTAATGAATTAAATGTACAGTATTTGATTAATACAATCTCACTGAATACAGAAGAAGTACTGCAGGGGTTTACTATACATAGTGAAGCCTTAATCCTTTGTGTACGGGTTCCTCTAAGCTGAGTAAAATAATCTGGTGTTAGTCAAATACTGTAATATTAAAAGTAGCATCCCCATAGTGAAGGGGTTAATATCTGTTCAATATTAACATACTGTACCAGTACAGGTATATGTACATGAATATGGTAATGTCCTCCCTAAAAGTTTATAGTAATGAAAAGGTCATTTGTATTTATTAAGTTCAAATTAATATTTCTATTCAATACCAAACAATCAGAAAAGACATTATTTTAATACAAATCTACTCAGTATTAGGTAACTCAACAGTTTATGCACTTTACAAAATAACAAATGTATAACCTCACCATTGAGCAGCTTATGTATGCACAATAAAAATGTATCTGTCTAGATGGGTCCAATGAATTTCATTTTGATCAATATGACTCATGCTGTCTCTATAGGGTTGTCAAACTCCTTGGTCCATGGTGTCATTGTTTTGCAGAGTGTGGATAGATACTATCTTTACAATGTGTACAGTCACTAATATCCCCTCCAACACCTTTTTTAATTCATAAATATAGTGCATAAATCACCATTTTCGATTGATGATAATGAACCAGGAAAAATATAAGGTTATCTATATATAAATACTGTATAAACAATATTTGGTAACCTGTGTTTTGTTCATCCTGGACACATTTCTGCAGTCTCACCATTACAACTACTGTACCAGGGAATCTCCCATCCAGTCTTACAATGTTTCAGGTGCAGGTGTCCAGTAATTCAATGCACTACTGTACCAAATAATTGTTGTAGAAAAGTAAAACTAGGACACTTACTGGCATATTCTTTAGATGAGAAAAAACCTCACTAGTTCTCAGGACAATTTCTTGAACAGCTTCGCAGCCGGCCTTACACAAAAATGATGTATTCCTTTGTGGGTGGGGTTGTGTCTGGGATGATTCCCCACCACCTTGTTGCACACCTTGGCTGCCTGTAAAAATATATGAATAAGTAAATAAATAAAAAATAAAATAAATCCAAAAATTGTGTACGTATACTGTAGCACCCATCACTCTTATAGAATGCAGGTCAGGGTATTCCTTGATATCTGCCATTAATCAAACTCCTGTACAGTACCTGGATTTCACTAAACCAGAGACAGACAGTTCAGGTCTTATATGGCTAATACAGTACTGTGTGTACACTCCACTAAAAAATATTGTGCACCCTTGGCTCTGAAACCATCCTCAAAGATCACTGCGAGAGAAGCCGTGATGAGTGTTATCACATTTCTTGGCTTGGTGTGTTATATTGTATAACCCCGTAAAGATGCAGAATAATCTTTTAGTAAGAGGCAATTTTGAGAAATAACTAAATACTCTACTGTACTAAAACTCCATTTTATAACCAAATCTACCCAAGCCTGTATAGTATCAGTTGCCTTGTGTATAGTAATCAAGTACAGAGGGTTGAAAACCCAAGTTCTCGAGGACATAGACATGTGGCTGAAACTAATCCAAAATAAGTCTACGCTTTCCCATAAAATCATGCTTTTAAAAAGAGACTTGATGGATATAACAGTTACCACAAAAGACTAGAACCACTGAGGTTCACACTTGCACTATCACCTCTGGTTTTTAACCCCTTTTGCACGGAGGTCTCCCTATGCTAAATAAAATCCTCTTAAATTAGACAAATAAAATATTAAAAGTGCTGTACCCATGGCAAAAGGGTTAATTGTCATACATGGCATAACTTGTCATTTTATGGTCCTCTCCAATGCCCAGCTCATGACAGTAGCCCCAATAGGGAGAAACAACGGAACATGAATCACTCCATCTTAGCTTGTTTACATACTGTAGGTACACCACAGATTTTCCGGGAACTGATGACCCTGCACCTCCTTTAGTCCGGACAAAATTACAAGAGGGCACTTAACTTCCTTCCCTGCCTGCCATATTTTGCTGGATTTACTGTTACTATAAGTGTTTACTGATACAGTGATCCCTCGGTTAACGAACGCCTCGGTTAACGAAATTTCGGTTAACGAATTACCTTCCATAAGAATTTTCAATTCGGTTAACGAAATTTTTACGAAATCATGTCAACATGTGTTCGCTTGCTCACCAGCTGGAATATTAGTCCGCCAATACAATAACTGGTTCTAGGGCTTAAATTCGTTCTCATTTGAGTAAATATCAAGAAGGTTGTACTATTCAATAATTTTCCAAATTTTATATTAAATTTTTTAGTTATTTTAACACTTATTTAACATAATTACAGTACAAGAAACTAGTTTTTGGTGCGCCATTCAGCCACTTGATTCACCCAGCAAGGCGTCAGTTTGTATCTCTGGTCAGTGGAGGTAACATCGCTTGTGGCTCTCTTGAATATAAACTATTTTTACGTTTTACAGTACAATTATTGGTCATTCTGAAATTTATTTTACATATTGACACTATATACTGCAGTGCAGTGTTGATTTAAAGAAAATACTCTTGAATTACACCTAAAGAACATAAAATTTTATAAGTGAAATGACGACATGAAGCTTGGGGTGATTTCTCTTCCACCCCCACTTCCTTCTCTTCTCCCTTCTCCTCCACCCCCACCCCCACTTCTAATTCCCATCATCATCATCATCATCATCAACAAGGAGCGTTCTACATACTCACCTCAAAATAAGTGTACTTTATTGCATTTATTTTTACTTTGTATGTAATTTTCGGTGAGCTGGAACCAATTACCCAAAATCCCATTGAAACAATGGTTTCGGTTAAAGAACGACCTTCTGGAACGAATTGTGTTCATTTACCGAGGGACCACTGTATAATGTTAGTACCGATGTTAATAATAGTACAGTATATTACTCCTGCAGTATCCCACTTTCTTATGTTCTTATTACTTGTTCTGTGTAATGATCATGTTGTCACATCATTTTCCCCAAAGCTCATGTAGGTAGGTATGTACAGTCAGAAATGATGTTGCCCTTACATACAGTCTACACCTAGACCCCGACTTACGACGGGGTTAGGGACCCAAATCCAGGTCGTAAGTCCGACATAGATAAAAAAAAAAAATCTACAATGAAATACAGTACAGTAAAAGTAATGAATAATGATGAATGGATACAGTACAGTGAAAGTAATAAATAATAAGGAATGGATACAGTGTGACTGAGCACTTAACCTTTAATGTACAGTAGTCAGCTGAATGCACATGGGGCCCCCATAATTTTCTAATTATACATGGAGACTGCATTAACTGGAAACGTTTCGGTATAGAAAATGCGTGTGTCATTTAAAAAATTTTTTTTTTTTTTTTTTAAATCTATATCTGAGGCGGTCGTAAGTCCCGACGGTCGTAAGTCCACGTAGTCGTAAGTCGGGGTCTAGGTGTATTTGATTACGTAAATGAGACCAGAGGTTGATTTATGTATTTGGTTTGCATTACCTCAATTGCAAAACCAAATTATGAAAATAATGTTATTAACATTTCATTACTAAATAAATTTGTTCATAATGAAAATTATTCAATGTACAGGTAGTTCTGCTATAACGCGATAATTGTGTTCTTGTAAAATATCGTGTTATAGAAAATCGCGTAATAGAAATAACAGGGCTTATGGAGAAAATAGGGTTAGGTGCAGATTACTCGAAATCGAAAAAATTTAGTAGTTAGCCTAACACAAAGGATAGCACAGTCTAAATAAATGTTACATTCATATCTAATAATGAAATCATACAGTAAATTTAACACTTTACCTTGAAAAAATATGAATGTAACTTGATGGGGGAGAAGGGTGATTTTGAGGTTGATAACATCAAGCTTCTCTTCAAGTGTTATATCCTTTCTTTTACGATAATCACCGGGAATTCTATCATCAGAATGCTTTTTGGAGATATTCTTCTTTACCATATTCACAGTTAATACCACAAAATTGGAGAAATAGTAAGCAAAAATCGCGTTATAGCAAACAAGCGATCGCGTTATACAAATATTGTTCCGAATTCATAAATCGCGTTAGAGCAAATTCGCGTTATCAAAACACGCGTTATAGCAGAACTCACTGTAGCAGAAATAACTTGATTGGCTGTACAGTCGACCCTCGTTAATTCGGACTAATGGGGGGGAAGGGTGTCCGTTTTAGCCGATTGTCCGAATTAACCGATTTAGGAGTTAATATTGCATTATATTTCAAAGTCATTGTTTTCGTCACGATTTTATCCCACTTTCCACTGTGATACGTACGTAATTTCAGCAAAAATATTACATTTCTGTGAATGTATTATATCAAGCACAGTATGAATAGAATATCATTGTAATATAACAGTATTTTAACCGAAAACTATTAAAAAACAACGGAAGGTTAGGTAAAATCTTTTGTTTTCGTCATGTATTTTATCCTATTTTACATTAAAATACATCACGTTTCAGCAAAACTACTGATACTCAACAGCTGGTTGTAAACAATAGGAGGTTGAAGTAGATTACCTGGTATTATATTAAGTGTGAAATATCAAAAAGGTTTTTATTACCGGTATTTTTTGTAGATTAATGAGAACTGTGATACCGTATATGATATGATAAGTTAGCCTGTGCTAAGAACTTCAACATAGACTACTGAAAACACGTTGTAAGGTAATTTAGCCTATTGTAAGTTGGTGAGCTTCATTTGCTGAAGGAACTGCACAACTTTTCATTACTAATTGGTACATATTTCACATTTCCATTGTTTATTAGCAGTAAATGGTAAATATTTTTCATGTCTGAAGCTAAAAGTTGCATCCCCCACACTAGTGGTGGAGATATTCATTTAACAAAAGGCTGGTGTTTTATCCAGCAGTGGGTGGAAGCATTTTAGCTTAAGTTAATATGGTAATATTCCTAAAAAAAAAAAAAAAAAAAAGTTCATTTTTTGTCCGAATTATCCGAAATCCGGATTAAAGGGGTCCAAATTAACGAGGGTCGACTGTACTAGGCATTAACAGTTTTGGTAATTATAATGGTGATAAGAATGTGAATATGAAATATTTTTAGAATACATTGATGTTTTCTTGATTGTATGTATAATCATGAATCAGAAAGTAGACTACTGTGCTATATTTTATTCAATATAATTCCTTCAACAAAATATAAAGAAAATTACAGCCATAAACCATAGTTTCTGTAAATATGACTCAAAGAGAGAGAGCGAGGAGCGTGGTCGCTGCCTCCCAGAGTGACGTCATCAAACCTACACCCAGGCCTTCTCTTCTAGGTGGCCTTGGCACAGGTCACTGACCCACATCGGGGCCTGCGGGGCGAAAATATAATTGTAATAATTATATTATTATTAATTCATAGTAAATAAAATTTATAATAAAAAATACAAATTGGAAAATAAAATCATAAAATAATAATGATCATAATAATAAGACTGCAAAATGTAATAACAATAATAAAGAACCATAACAAAATACAAAAACGAAAAAATCAAAACTTTGAAACAATATATGTATGTTGTATTGTCAATACAATAGTAAGAGAAACAATTGAGACCCTGCAATTGTGTGTAAATGAGGCAGAAAGTCAGATCAGAAACCTGGGACTTGGTCACAATTTTTGTGATGCCATATGGCAGCAGGGTCTACCGTTAGACAACACATTATGCTATCAATATCTTCCCAGGTGGTAGTACCTCCCTGTTTGGTAGCTGCCTACTACCTATTTTGTAAATTAGTACAGTACAGTTTTGTAATTTATCATCACTTAATAAATACTATTGCAGTGTATTTATCACCACTTAATAAATACTATTGTAGTATGTTTATCATCACTTAATAAGTAATATTTTAGAGTATTGTAAAGTATTATATATCTGCATATACTCGGGATCGAGTCTGACGTTCATCCAGCTATGGTACCGGGAGTTCTGCAATAACGTGTGTTCTGACAACGCAAATTGGTTATAACGTGATTTATGAATAGAAGAACGATATTTGTAAAACGCGAACGCTTGTTTGCTGTAACACGATTTTTGCTTACTATTTCTCCAATTTTGTGGTATTAACTGTGAATATGGAAAAGAAGAATATTTCCAAGAAGCGTTCTGGTGATCGCATTCCCGGTGATGATCGTAAAATAAAGGCTATAACCCTTGAAGAGAAGCTCGATGTTATCAACCTCAAAATCACCCTTCTCCCCCATCAAGTTATATTCATATTTTTTCAAGGTAAAGTGTTACATTTACTGTATGATTTCATTATTAGATATGAATGTAACATTTATTTAGACTGTGCTATCCTTTGTGTTAGGCTAACTACTAATTTTTTTCGATTTCGAGTAATCTGCACCTAACCCTATTTTCTCCATAATCCCTGTTATTTCTATTGAGAACTGAGGTGACTCGAGAGGCCAATACGAGATCGGCAGGACCTTCCACAGATGTTGCACGTGTGGAGGGTTACTTCTAGTGTGGGAGGAGCGGCGGCAGCGTCTTTCAGGGGCGACTACTTTACACCAATTTTAGTAAACTTCCTCTTATTCGGACTAATTGGGGAGAAGGCCTACCCGGTTTGGCTGAAATTCCAAGTTGGACAGGGATCTGTACTGCACGGTGGGAAATTCCAAAGGGGAGGGGTATTTCCAACTCAAGCTAACTAAAAACACCAACCCTACTGTAGTTTTTAACCTAAAATTAAAACCCTCAGGATTTCTACATGCAATATGAACATTTCTTTTTTAGCCTCTTAGTGCTTCAACATCTGTTGAGTTACCCTCTTGTGCCACCACTGTGGCAGTCCCTGTCATTTTTTATATATTTTTTTTTTACAAGGATTAGACCACCTGAGCACAGGTCACTAACCCACTTCAAGGCCTGGGAGGCAAAAATATTATACTAATACTATTAATAATACAGTAATACCCCAATTTACGCGGTCAATTGAACCCGCGGAGTAACGCGTAAAAGAGTACAGTGGTCCCTCGGTTAATGAAATTTCGGTTAACGAGTTACCTTCCATAAGATTCTTAACTTCGGTTAACAAGCAATCCCTCGATTAACGAGTTTCTTACGAGCCAAACTGAACATGTTTTCGCTTGCATTTGGAGGTCCACCAGCTGTAGTATTAGTCAGCCAATACAGTAATCGGTTCTAGGGCTTAAATTCCTTACCATTTTAGCAAATATCAAGAAGTTTATACCATTCAAAAATTTTAAAAGTTTATATTAATTTTTTTAGTCATTTTAACAATTATTGAACATAATTGAAGGTAGGGTCACTAGTTTGTGGCACGCCATCCAGCCTGCCAACACAGCACACAGGCGTCAGTCTTTGTGTCTTTTCAGTGGAGGTAACATCTTGCTTGAGACTCTCTTCAACTAAACGCTTTTTTCTGTGTTTGCAAGCAAATTATTGGTCATTTTGAAATTTATTTTACTTATTGACAATATACAATGCAGTGCAGTGTTGATTTAAAGAAAATAATCTTGAATTACACCAAGAGAACTAAAATTTTATGGGTGAAATGGCACCATGGGGTGACTTCTCTTCCACCCCAATGCCTTCTCTTCTCCTCCACCCCCATTCTAATTCCCATCATCATCATCCAGGAGCCTTCTACATACACACCTCAAAGTAAGTGTACTTTTCTACCTTTTTGGTTGAATTTAGGCAATTTTCGGTGAGCTGGAACCAATTACCCAAAAACCCATTGAAACAATGGTTTCGGTTAACGAGTTTTTCGGTTAACGAGCAACCTTCTAGAACGGATTGTGCTCATTAACCGAGGGACCACTGTAGCGTAAAAGAGTAGCGCGTAAAACAAGAAACGTATTAATAGAATATCAGAACATATGGGATTAATTGAAATAGAGACTGGGCCGACTCCCAAACTCCACTTTTTCCAACACAATACTGACATAATACCTAGTTGTTGTAAAAATAACATCTTAATTTTATGATGGTTTGCACACACAATTAATATTTAAGAGAAATACAGTTGCCAGGTTAATGTCCATTCAAATAATGGACTCAACTCCGCCCCACCCCCTCCCTTCCCACGCTCGCTGGCTCCTCCCTCACTGAGAAATGTTTGGGTGAAAACATTAGATTTTAAGGTATACCGTATATCTCAGCCTACAAGGCGACGGGGTGTACAGTATAAGACGGCCCCCAAAATTTCCATTTAAAAAGTAGCTTTTGAGCCCTATTCGCTGTATAAGACAGGTACCCCAAATGTGACACTTACCATTGGGAGCTTACTGACCCAGTAGTCCTTTACCAACCATCCCATTGACCAGTGCTGTTTACACATCCTTGGTTTTTTAAAATAAGGCCAATTCACTTCAAGTAATGGCATCAAATGTTACCGGTTGGTGTAGTGTAAACACTAGTGACTCACTTAAAAGTCTGTTATTTAACTTGAACTTATGTCGGTGTCGAATACAATTGTTTCATTTACTTGAAATGGATTTATCGATTTGTGTTTATTTATTTGTTTATAACATACTGTAATATATTAAACACACTGCAAGTATTTTCTTTAATTTATAAGCTTGCTTCAACCAGCTACAGTATTCTAATTCAATAGTGTTTCATTAGGATTTGAGTGAAATAGATTACTGTACATACTTACTACATACATTTATTATATATATATATATATATATATATATATATATATATATATATATATATATATATATATATATATACTGTATATATATATTCACAATATTTTATAATTGCAGTCATGTACTGAATATTCTATGTAAAAAATATAAATTTTAAATGAATTATTTCTAGTGTGGTCAACTTCCTACACAAAGACGGGCTATAAATAGCCGTCTTATCTCCCCTCCCCCTCCATCCCTCTGTTCTCAGAGAGAAGCTCTTGGTAAATAACTTTTATTTGTTTATTTTCATTGTTTGTCTAATTTATCATGTTGTATCAAAGTAATATTACTAAAAGTTTTAGGCAGCTACCAAACAGGGAGATTCTACTGCCTGGGAAGATATTGGAAGCATAATGTACAGTATTGTCTAATGGTAGACCCTACTTCCATATGGCACCACGAAAATTGTGACCAAGTCTTAGGTTGCTGATTTATCTTTCTGCCTCATTTACACACAATTGCAGAGTTTCAATTGTTTCCCTTCCTTTGACAACACAACGTACATACAATACAGTGGTCCCTCGGTTAACGAGCACAATCCGTTCCAGCAGGTTGCTCGTTAACCGAAACCATTGTTTCAATAGGTTTTTGGGTAAT